TTCAAGGCAAGCAACAGCAAAGAAATCCTCACTCTTTACTCGTCCACCTGCTGCTTACGCTCCCCTAACTCCACTGAATGCTGATTAATACGATTTAATGAGAGGAGTGTGTTGGTGGAGGAAAGCATCAATTGGCGATGAACAGTTTCTGTACCCAGCGATAAAAGTGTGTGGAAATATTATCTGCAGTGGCAAAAAGGAGACTGAGAAAAGGAGCCTCATCTGTTGGGGATAAAGTGAGTGGGTACACATAAATGGATGGAGTGAAAGAGGAGTGGGGCTCTAGTTTGACAGATGCAGGAAAGATGATAAGGAGAGTGGCGGTTAGTAATGGCTGCAGCAACGGCTCAAAGGGTGCTGTCTTTTATTTAAAACTTCCTCTTTCTTCAGTGTGTTCTTGTATGGGTGTAGTAGATCGACCTGGGTATTTTGACCCTGTCTCTCTCTGTTTCAATATAGCATATGCCTAATTGACTTCTATTATACTTGGTTGTGGCTATCAGACACGATAATCCTGGCCTCCATCCTCCCACACAGTAGCCCCAGTAGTCACGATGTCTGCTTCTTGAATCACAAAAGCTTAGTGTCACCAGGGAATGGAAGACAATGACGGTCACGACTCAAATGTGGAGATACAGGACTGCCACGGTGAACGAGGGAGCACACAAAGACACACACACATACGAGCAGATGCATATGCACAATAGGACAATGAAATCCCTTGCAAAATCCATCTCTCCCTTAATTGCCGCACAACACACCTTGATTCCCTCCACTCGTCCCGGCCTCCCCATCCCACTGTGAGTTTAAGCATCACAATGGGGATTACACAGGTGCAAAAATACTGCGTGATCAGCTTATTAATGCAATTTTCAAGGCCAGGATTTACATGAGTGGGGGGCTGAATAGACCTTTGGCTCAGAATTAGCCCCATTTATGCAGCCTGTTCAAGACAGGAATGTTATAGTCTTATACCGCCTCGCCTTTCTGAGTGAAGGGGGGTATTGTAATGCCGGCAGCAGGGGTATAGTAGAGTAGGTATAGAGCTGGATCTGTGCAAGAGGGAGAGCTGGCATGGCAGGATAGAGACGCAAACTCGGTCGTGTTACACGTCACACTTCTGATTGCAGAATGCCGGCGTGTGTGATCTAAAAATTACACACTGGAGCAGCAGTGTGCCGGCTTGTTTGATTCAGTGTTAAGAAACAAACCTGCCATAGTGAGAGGCCCTCAGCAATATAGGAGGGTCTGTATCTAAAAATAGCTTTTGTCTTTTACTCCATTCACATTTTGAAAAAAAAATTATGCTCATAGCTCATCACTCTAAAAAGCAAGGAATCCCTCTTTTAAGCTGCACGTGTGCAAAAAACCTTCATCTCAATGGCAGTGGGAAGGACAGGGAGCTACAAACTGACTCAGACTTCTAAATTCTGTGCACTACCCAATACTCAGTACCATTACTCTCCTACTGAGATTGCACCCCCCCCCCCCGCAACCTGTCTGGCTCACTGTGGTGACCCCCCCTGAGGGAGGCAGAGCAGAGGAAGCGAGGTGAGGGTGACCCAGAGGAGACTCCCCACACATATTGTTGGATCCTACCAGTTTGCATCTGTCTGCTTCTAGACACAATGACAAAACTGCCATATATGAGCCTGTTGTTCCAAAAGATGAGGAGGAGGAGGAGGAGGAGTGGAGTGTGTGAGGACAGGAGGTGCTTGTCGGCAGGAGCGAGAAAAGTAGAGCAGATATGTAGCGGCATATTCCGCGGGGACATGTGGAATGGCAACACGCATCCTCCTCCCAAAGCAATCTGTGTTAGTGTTCAAGGCAAAATTTGTCAATCTGCAGCTCACTGAGCCTTGCTCCAGCTGGGCCGTGCATTGATTTTAAAACCCTGCGTGCACCGCTGTAGCTGCACTCAATCGGGTATAGTGACGCCTATGGATGTATGGTAGATGAAAGGGGGATTGTAGGGGGAGAGCAAAACTTAAAGAGTGACCCTCCATCATTGTTGTGTGTTTGAGGGTTTGTCAGCTGGGCAGGTTTGCTTTAAGACAGGAACAAAGAGGTGGCTGCATGGGGGAAGGGCAATGGAGGGGGATGGTAAGGGTGATGCCTGCCTGCCTGGTTGGCTTTTATTCTAACATCAATGTGCATCAATGAGCAAATAGTCCCTGTGTGCTGAGAGGGAGAAAAAATCCTTCTCTTTCAGTCAAATGCCAAGATCAATACATGAAGGGCTGATGTCACAGCCTACATGTGCCCAGAAACTGTGAATATTGCTTTCATTTCCCTTTCACCGCTTGTAATGTAAGTGTACATTCATTTTACTACTACGATCAGACAATTTCTCATTCTCTGAGCAGGATCAGAAATCCTCTTAAATATATCCTTTCAATTCTGGTGTATGTATGTGTGTGTGCGTATGTGCATGACTGCACAAGTAAGCTGTACACACAGCCTCTATTTAGCAGACAGAATGAGAAGAGAGTGGTGCAGGCAACTGTATTTTGATGGGCTGTCAGGAGGCAGTGGCTTAATACAGCTTAGATGTCGTGGAAAAAAAAAGTCTAGTGAGATTCCAGAGGAAGAATTAAGGCAGGGTTGTCCTTGCTAAAGAAGCCAGCTATCACGGTCAAAAAGCGAAGCAGCAAGCCGGACTTTGCAAACCACAGCACATTTAAATTATAGGGCCATGGGAGAGCTGCTAAGGAGAAACACGAGTGGGAGACAGAGGGAAGGGAAGAGATGTTGCAAAGGGAAAAAAAATCTTATTTTGATAATTGCTGGGGCTCAATTTTCATAAAACATTCTCTATGCAACTTGTTCCACAAAAGTATGAAACGGCACTGGAAGCTGTCATGTGTTGCCTTGCTGCTAGGCTAACAAGCTGCTATAGCTGCAGACTTCACCCCCCCCCCAGCCCGGTCTTCCACAAATACACTCACTTCCTGGGAAAACACTCAATCTGGAAATCAGACCTCACATGATTGAAATATACGGAGACTCGAGTAGTTAAAAGAGCTCCAGGTGCTTTGGGCACGTCTTCTAAGGCTACAACAACTAACAGCCACCCCAAATCTCCCCAAGGCTATTTTTGGGTGTATGGGCATATCCGTTTTCATGTCAGACACTTTTAAGAGCTAAGTGCATTGATTGATTTTTGATAGCCCCAGAGTTAGGAGGGGGGGAGAGAGGAAATGAGGGAAAGCTTTTGTGTTCCTATTTTCTAATCTTACTCAGATCCGTAATCTCCCCACAATCTATATCTTTCCCTTCCACTTCATGAATTATAAAGAGGAATCAATTTCGCTGGATAAAAACACACTAAAGCAGATTTATGCCTTTATTTTAACCTCTTTACCCTGATATCATTCTTGCATGAGCGCTTTATTCTTTCCATTCCCGCTGCAGGATTACCATTAACATCACAATAAATATGCAGGCCACAGCGAAGTAGGGTGAGCAACTCCTGAGAAAAAACGCAGGCGTATAACTCAAAAATGAGCCTGAGCGGTGCAGAGGGTTGTATTATGTGGCCTGAGAGGAGACACAGGAAGAAAGGCAGAGTGAGAAATCTTCTCTTCTGGGTCGCCAGTTGAATTATTGTCCACCTCTGGGTGAAAATGACAGTCACTCATGGCTGCCCAGCAAAGGCGTACAACATGATGGGCACGGCTTCCTTCCAGCCCACTACCACGCTGTCATACACACACACACATCCAGGAACCAGACACATATACACACATACACATCCACCTACACGCGCAGTCATCTGCTGTCAGTGCTACAAGATGCATGCTGAGTTCACACACACAGACAGGGCCAGGATATCCACCATTAAATTATCAGCAGGGAATGAAGCTGTACCAAACCACGCTCCACTTTCTCAAAACAGACCACTTCCTCTAATAGAGACAAAAAATGAACAAACCGTAGAGCATCGCTCTTTGGGCAAATGCGTGTGGATGTAACCACTGCACCGCTGACACACTTAACTCCTTACGTCAGAATCCAGTTTCACCATTTTGTTCTGTTTTGCCATCAGTCAGCCGCGCATCCCTGATGCAGTTACGTACTTCGCAGTGTTACCAAACGCTGCAACGGGAAGTTGATCTGAGTCAGTCAGCTACACAGTGTTTCATACGTCACACTCTTGTCTATGTACATTCAGCCTTATCGCCTCTGCGGCCAACATAGAGATCAGCCTTTTTTTTGCTTTTACTCTCACTATTGATCATTTTGGTGAGTCATGCCACGCTGACTCAAATGCATACCGCATTTCATTCGGCCGAAAGAGCAGTTTCACTGTAAATTAGAGTGTAGGTCCTGCTTAGACTGTGCATGCAAGGCTTCCAGGAACCCTATGCTAGTACAGAGCGAGAGTGCTGTCATCTGATGATCCAGCACTCTGTTTATGAGTTAGTGAGACCACACTAAAGACTCCATGCAGCCACAGCACACTTCCTGGAAACTTGGCTGTCCATGTGTGTGTGCGTGTGTTCATCTGTGTGTATGTCTATTAGATGCTGAAATACAGGAGTGCAGAGAGATTACAGGTAAAGATATAAACAGAAAGGTGGAAGTGAGTGTTATGTGCTCATCCTCTCAGCATGTCACAAATAAGCCCTGGTGTTCGCCCTGGCTTCCTGCAGCGATGTGCATCCCCCACCCCCKCCCCACACACACTATCACAGATGTTACTAGGATACGGGAGGGTGTTGCTGCTTATTATACGCTAACAGCTCACACTGGATGTCTAGCTTGGCTTGGCTTGTTTAAGAGGCCGAGATTAAACAAGCAAAGAGGCTTGTGCAGCCTGCTCATCTCATCCCACTCTGTCATCACTGGCTGTTGCTCTGCACTTGACCAAAGCTAAAACCTCCCATATCCCCACATGCAAACACAAAGAGTCCGCAGCTCTGCTAAGATTGCAGTTGTGGCAGGATACTGACTTTGTTGCATCCAAATTATTTCAGGGTCAACACATAGAAACGTCCTCAGACTCTTACCTGAGTTTCTGTTAAGCTCTCCAAGGCTTGCATTACTGACTGTTCTGGTCTTGATGCTTGAGACTGCACAGAAAGAAGAAAATCATTTTAAATGGACTTTGTGGAGCATACCCCAATTATATAAAGCAAAAAAAAAGTATAAGCAATGCTTAATTCAGTATTGTAATTAATATTTCACATAGACTAAAATAAGATCACACTCAGGTGGCCCTTACCATTAATCCTGCTTCAACAGTTGGTACAAGCGTTAACTTGCTCCCATCAGATATGCCAAGATCCTGGAGTTTTCCTGAACTTAGTCGCCTGCAGGGTTAGAGAGAACAAGATAATTAGACTGTGCTGACAATATCTTCTCTCCAAACAGCCTTCAGCCAGGGGGGGCAGACACACTTCCAAACTAGTTTGAAAAAGGGCCGTGGGTGAAAAGCTCCATGAAAGAGACGTATTGATTTGGCTGTCATATTTCAATTTCGAGTATAGTGGAGCTTGACAATCCCTCACAGTGGATATTTGGCACTACTGCCACTTGCCTAAGTGGAGGTAAGCATTTTCTTTCATTTGCACAAAAATCTCCTTGCTGAAATCAAAACCACAGTCCTTTAGCTAGTTTTAAGAAAACTGTGCAGCAATGAGCTGTTACTGACATCGCAAGTCCATTGTTGTCAGTTCACATGTAGAACATTACAACAGCTGTTTCTGTAATTCTATTCTAAAGAAAGTGATATGTTATACCTTTACAGGGCTTCACTAGTTAATGTCTGCAGCAGAGCATGAGAGTATCTGTTCCCCAACAAGGAAACGCTTTAATATTGCAGGTCACGGCGAACTAAAACCACTCACATCCAGGTGTGGCAACTCTTCAACCCCTGATGGCGTCATTGGAAAATGTTTAGGCTGGCCTACAGCACGGACATGACCCAAATCTGAACGCGGATGAACAAAGGCCCACAGCCGCGACTTGCTGCAGGTCTACAGTTTGAGGAGCAGGAGGGGGATTAAATAGGGGGTTTCGGGTTTTAAAGGATGATGTGATTTATTGGGTGATTACAGTGGGTGGGAGGGGACAGGAGCTGAAAAACAATGCTGACTCCTTGCATTTACTAACCCCTCCTTCACTCTTCTACATAACACCACCTGCACTATTGTTGGCCCATTTAACCTGAGCCTTATTCATTGGGGAATCACTGAATGCTGCAGGTTTTGGTTTAGTTTTAAATAATAAAAAGGGTCTTGACTCATCCCTTGCCCATGCATCTCCGTGCCATTACAGAAGCGTTTACCCCAGTGCTTAAGGAGACAGGTCGGCCAACACCTCACACCACCCAGAAACCCAGTGAAACCATTCAGGAGTTCTATTTGCTTCCACACTCCATGCTATAGTATCATGCCAGGGATGAGCCATATGCCTGCAGCAGCACAGTAAATAAATTACAGGGCTACCAAGTATGTGTGTGACTCTACTCATCAATGTTTAACGTTGTATGATTCACACAGCATTAGCAAATCAGTCAAGCTTCGGTATTTATAATGGAGGAGGGATTGGATCGATACGAGTCTGCAGATCGCCTGGTCAATACTGTTCCAGTGACCGCTGCGTCCCCTATGCGTAATTCCAATACAGTGGTCAGTGGTTTCCTTGAATGTATTGATGGCCACACCAGCCAAGGTTGTGTCTGCAGCCCCCGAGCGCTCAGGCACGAATACATAAATACAAAGTATGGATTCAAACATATGTTATCATAACTCGGGTTTATTCGAATGTATTGGCTGCGTAATACCCCGGACATTACGGTTTATGGTGCCAAGAGTCTCACACAAGCGCGAAGTATAATTAAAACCAGTATTTCCCAAAAATAGAAAGGGTGCCGCACTTCCAGTTTACTCTCTCCCCATCCTGCTTCTATATGGTTTACTCACGTGTCTTTGTGCAGCAGTGCGAGTCTCTCTTTCGGTACTTTGAGTCTTTGCGACAGCCTCCTCTTCAGTCCGTCCACGGTCTCTTCCAGGGGCAGGGAGAGCTCGAAGCGTGTGCCGGTGGTGGAGTGGATGTATAGATTCATGGAGGGCTCGGTCGGGACGGCCTCGCAGGACGAAGCCCCGCGACTGGTGCAGCTCCGGGCGCTGGGATGCTGGTCCATCCGATAACCTGTGGTCAGAGAGGAGAGAAGGGGGCGAGCAGAGCAGAGCCGGGGATGAGGAGTGTGAAGTCAGATGTGGGGGGATTGTGGTGGGGCAAGATCCGTCGCTTAGGCTACGGTCCCTTGTTGGGCAGCATTCAGAGAGCCTTGTTCTGTGGATCTCGGTGCCTTCGTTCTCTCGCTCTCCGGGAGTCAGAATAAAAGCCGCTCCGTTTCCTCTCCGGTCGATATATCATGAGAACATTCCCCCAGGAAAGTCAACTACCCATACACACTCGCTTTTCTCTTCGTCTGATCTTTCTCTTTGTTGCCTTTCCCCCCAGCGCACCAGCCAAAAGTCCTTCTGTATGCTACATAGATGTGCAAACGCCAGGCAGGAACGCGTCAGCCAGAAGCGCAGAGGACGCTCAGTTACGCACGCGTCTATCTTTAAAAACAAAACCCGTGCGGTGAGATAAAAAAACAACAGAAGTTCCTCGGTGTTTTTTCGAAAGGCTTTTACCGGCTTCGGAGGATTAAGCACGCGCTCCGTTCTCTGCAGAGCCTCACACGGCTGTGGTGGCGAGAGGCTCTACTGTGCTGCGCGCTCGTACGCGCGGCCGCTCCGCTAAAAATATCGACAATGAACATTGTCACGAAGTATCCCCCACTTCCACCATCGATAAAAATACGCCCACAGCCCCCGAGGCAGCGCGGCCAATCATGGGGGGGCTCCTTCAGGACGATGCTGCGCCCATCCAATGGGAGCGCCGGCTCAACACCCACGTGGAGGGCAGGCGAGTTTAAGCCATTCATAATAAATTACAGCATAGGACAAAATATGTGTCCTTATAGCACAGAGGGTCTAATGGACGGTTTGAGGAGGACACGGTTACAACCAATACTGGCCTCATTATTAGCCACTTATTACCTATATTCACCGAGTATGTTAAAAACCAACTGTCTATGTTGCATGTTTATCGCATTTTAGCCAAGGTTGATATCTCCTCTCCTCTGAGCCAGGTCACATCTCTAAAATGTAGTCTATTTAAGGGCCAAAATAACATCAATTATAATTAACAAATAAACAAATACAATGAGTAATGAAATGAATCAATCTAGAATGAATGTATTATTTGGATCTGACTTATGTGATACTGAAAATCAATGAGAGTTTCCATGTTTTGATCGGGTTTCACTGCCTCGTGTGTTACAGCCGGCCAGTGTGGATGCAGCTATTTTAAAGACTTGGCATACAGAGCAGGGGTTACACTGCTTGAATCCAAGTTATCAGAGGGACTGTGAGGGCATTATTAGGGCTGACACCATCCTCCTCCTTCAACCTCTGACCTCAGCAAAATGCACCATTAGAATAAAATGCAAATAAATGCCCTGGAATGAGGAAAGTATTCCTGAGAACTTGCAGTGTGTACTGTACACACGGGACAGTGAAAGACAGAGAGGATGCAGTATCTGAAGGAAAACTCTTGTATTTGACTTGGTATTTTTCCCCACATGCAAAAGTTGCTGCAGAAGTTTCCAGTTTGAGGAAATAAGGAAAATGATGATGATCAAAACACCCCTCAAACAGATTCCCCCAACACCAGCAGGGCCTTTAACTCTGAAAATGAAATACTCGGTCGCCACCTAGTGGGTAAAGCGTAACACTGTCACAATTAAAACTTACAAGGGGATTCTTTCATTGTGGTGTAATATATTTCAGTTTATAACGAGCACGGAACAGTCAGAAAATAGGAATTCGCTCGTTTATTCTTTCACGAAGAGGTTTTTTATTATATTAACATGACTGTCACTTTACGCCTGTATTATATTATGATGTTGTTATTGAGTTTATTAATCAGCCTCAGCAAAATATAATTTACAGTAACGCGGTCATTAGTCCTGTCGTCAATGCTGGCCTCATTAAGCTAATCATGGCTGCAGAGTTTACATGAAAGGTGCCTCATCCAATGACTCCACGACATGCTTTTATCGATCCCCGATAGACGGCTTGTCCCAAATCAATTTTCTCTCCCACCAACACAATATAGAGAACGTCAAACTTTCGTGATGAATAATTTCCAACCCCACAGCCTTGTTTTGAGATGTTGATGTGTACTCACCAATTATTGTGGCGCAAACTGTGAAGCCTCGCGCCGGAGTGTGTTGTGTTCCAGTGTGTTCCCCCAGCTTTGGCATATAAAGTAAAACCAAGTCAGTGATAAACGCTCGTGTAAATCCAATCGCTTAAAAATCCACGGGAGGTTTCTCAGTGTGTCCTCTGCCAGGAGCTGTGCGCGTCCACCGGGCGTCGTTACGCACTGGAGCTCGAGTCTTGTTCTGACCAATAAGAAGCTACTGTTCGCTCCTGGGGTGCCTGCGCGCCCTGAGCTGTGCGCGCACCGGTATCTTTCTTGATACTGAGCCGGGAAGGTGAGACACCTCTTTACAGACTCGCCTCGGATATGGGTGGAGAGTTGTGCACTTGTTATGTCAGCATGTGATTTAAGGTGGTTCCTGCTTCAGTGTCAGCACGGCACTTGTCCTTCGGGACAATATGTGCCTGCGTAAAGTGGCAGTACATACATACAACTGAGTCACTGCAGGGGCTTTATGAGCGAAAGTATTTTATTTGAATAGAGGTATACTCCTAAATAGAAACAAAGAACAGCCAGCCTGTGGACTACCACCTTAAAAAAGACTTCATGAAACGGGTGATTTGGCGATATGAGGGGTGTTACCAGCCTTCTGACGACATAGAGAAAAATGTCACCGGGCAACAGAGCAGGTAAACATGCTGCCTGGATACGAGGGCGCGCGCACTGATAAATAAACACCTGACTGGCACGATTAGAGGAAATGACATGAACTTTTGTTTAAAAAAACAAATAATGAACATATATATATATATGCGAGTAGCCTATGCCTAAAGTATGCATTCAAATATTTACTGATAATTAAGGATTAAATGAAAAAGAACTAACAATATCGTATCATATATTATCATGATGATTAGTTATTTTGATTTTAATCCTAAGATTAGTAATAATAGTATTATAACCGATGCAGTGACATGTAAGAGTATAGGTACACCATGTTTTCAATTCATAAAAGTTTATCATATTGTGTTTATCTGCAAAGTATAGCTGTCATATACATGTTGTGGTGGTATATTTTACAGTTGTATAAAGAAGCACAAAATTGAGCTACTCAAATATGTTCATGTAGCACACATACACTGGACGTTGTGCCCCACCAACATATTATTACACTGTCTGCGAAATGAATCGTGTGTGTGTGTGTGTCAGAGAGGGAGAGAGAGAGGGAGAGGAATGTATGTTCAAAAAGAAACACTGGAGTTATCTCTCTGAGTCTCCACGATCAGACAAAGGTGCCTGTCTTTGCCTAGCCCCAACAGCTCCCTCTCTGGCTCTTTATCTGTCTTCATCTCTTCACTTCTCTCTGGGAGATGCTGACTCAGTGGAACAAAGTGAAAGGAGTCGGTTAAACTCCCTCTTCTCCTTCAAACACGGCCCTTTGTTCCAGTTGAACGCTGTGCTTTTGAATTAGCTCTATGACCTGTTTTGATGCTTATTAGGTTGGCAGAGGCCTATGACAGTATCTCTGTGTGTGTGTGTGTGTGCGTGTGTGATAAACATGTTGGTTCAGGGAAGAAGCTAATGTGCATTGGTGTTCGTCACTCCAGCTGCCTGAGAGTCAAGTTCTTCTTTCAGCCACGAGACGGCTTGGCTGCGCCCGTCAGCAGGTTTGGCTGTGAACTCAGTCTAGGTCACGGAGAACACTCTGACCTCGTTTGCCTGAATTAGACCTTGTAGTGAGCTGGCAAGTCCTTGTGTTTTGCGACAAGAGGGCGACTCTCACGACACGTAATCTTGATCTTAACATTGTCTGGTAATTGGCAGTTTCTTTTTATGATGTCATTTATTTTAATCCCCAGTAGCTGGAACAGTGTGATCTTTCTTTCTATCTCAGCTAATGTGACAAATCACATTGTGATTAAGTGTAAGAATCGTGTTAATGCACAAATTTATCTTCAAGCTGTAAAATGTTCTTCGCTATGTGCTGCACGGTGCAGTAGGATGCACATGGATAAGCCTGTGATGGAGGATACAAATATGACCTCGTATGCAGCAATCTACATGGTCATGCATCACACACACTTCTGGGAAGAGTTTATTGACAGGGGCGGAAGGCTGTGTGGGCGGGTCGTAAACATTTCACGTTGGATATCAGATCTGGTGGGACAGAGCAGCCTGTGTGCGTGTAAAAACTTTTCAGTATGTGTGTGTGTGTCCGCGCACGAGCAACAACGCGTGAGTTGCTCTGTGAGAGCCTGAGTGTGTGTGCGGGACATGTGTGGGCGTGTGTGTGGGTGGGTGGGTGAGCAGCATTCCTATCCATCAAAGTCACCAGTAGGCCGCCCTCTGCCTCAGGAGAAAAATGAACCATGCCCAACGCTACTCATCCCGCTGCTGTTGTTCTCCCTGCCACTGTTTCCTCCTGATTCACCCCGAGTGGCTGAGACACGCCTCGCCATCACCATGCTACACTAAACTCTTACCACCGGAAGCTGACACATGAGGATACTGGCATACCTTACATGATGATACAAAGCATATGAATTATACTCGTGAGAGTGATCATAGTGATCTCTGGGAGATGTGAGGGAGGTTCTGATGTAATCGGGCACAGTCAGACAAACATGCACAGACACAAACTTACAGCAGATACATTTGTGTGTGAGGGTCGGTTGTTGCTGAATATAGTGGCACTGGGGTGAAAATCACAACAAAGTAAATACGTATACCACAAAACAAGTGAAAAAAACAATGGCAATCATTTGGTTTATCTAATCAGTGACGAGCCTTGTCAGCAGCAGGTACCTCTCCGTTTTGTTCGAAGCTTATGTCATTTTGTGATATTTGTTGGTTCTCATGATCTGCCACTGTGTTTTGTGATGTGTTGTTGTTTTTTGTAGTTTGTCGTTCTTTTTTGCTATGGTTGCTGTGTTTGGAGAATTTCAGCTGTTTTTCTTATTAGCTGTTGTGTTTTCCTTTTTCTCATGAAGTTTTTTTATATAGTGAAGTGCTTAAATAGTTTGTGTTGGAGCACAGACTCCTTTTGACACACTGAAATTTTGGTGTAAAATCAAAGAAATAATTCAAACATGTTGGTAATGATGTGGTCTGAACAGATTTTTTGAGTGTCTCTAATTTGATTGGTAGCTGAGACTGACTTGTGAATGGAGACTCATGTTCATAATGAGAGACAATAATGTAGATTTAGAGAAATAAGGAACACATGAGACTATGACCAAAAGTGTTCCATACCAAAAATAAATAAAACAATTTACATAAATCCAGACTAAAATAACACTTTATTGCTGATCCTTTATATTTAATTTTACTCTTCTAAAGCCTGTGCTTATTTCACAACAACGTTTTTCCCCAAATCAATGTTTTGTTTCACAATATCGCTTTTAATCACATATTCTTTGTCAATCAGGGCAGACGTATAATGTAATCGTGCATGTATTGACACAGGATGACAGATCACATGTATGATATGTGGTGTAAATGAGTCAGTGATATGAATTTAATGTATTCAAAGAAACACATGAAGACGTGAATGAGGTCTGCCCATATGCCTGTGTGCAATGTGACAAACACATGGATAATGTCACAAAATAGATTGAAAGTAGAATTACCATGCAGCAGTTGTATGTTTCTGCCAAAAAGGGCAGTTTCAGTCTACGTACGTGAAGTCACTGTGACCTTGAACATTGATCATTTTGAAATCTAATCAATTAAGTTTGTGCCAGATTTGAAAGAACAGAAGTTTTTGAGTTCCAAATTCTAGCCAGCTCATCCTTCAGTCCAAGTGAATGTTTGTGCCAAATGTAATAAAACTCCCTATGGGTGTTCTTGATATATCATGTCCACAAGAACACGAGGTCACTGTGACCTTGACATTTGACCTTCAACCACTAAAATCTAACCAGTTCTTCTTTGAGTCCAAGTGAACTTTTTTTCCTTTGCTGGAGCAGAGATAAAACAATCCAAGCACAAATACAGTTCAGAAGCGATGTAACCTTGAATCTGCTGTTGGCTAAGGTACTTTTCTAATGCTGACAAAATACACAGATCAGTAACTAGATTTAGTGTTGCAATTAAGCAGGATATTTGGGGCCGTCTGAATAATCCTGAAACTTGTTTTGTAGTTTCAATTATTTTCCAAAGCTTCATGGTTTTAAAAGTAAAAAACAGCCATTCACTCCAAAACCAGTTACCTTTTTAATGTTTCCAATTGGTGTACATTGATGTGCAGAAATTTCACTCAGTAAGTTCCAACAAAATTAGTCACATTCATAGATTTCAGTGCCTTAAATATGCCTGAGTTCTTTCTCATGATCTAACTATTCCCTGGGAAATTAGTGAAAATGTCTCGTCATATTAAAGAAAGTGAAAAAAATTATGGATTATGGATCCATGTTGAAAATTCAATAGATTCTTTCTTGGCCCATGTACAGTCGCTCTACTAAGTAATATTTGTGCAAACCAACAAACAGTCAGACTGGGGTGAAACATAACTTCCTTAGTTGGGGTAATCAAACTGAAACATGTTTCATTTGTCTAGATTTCCCAGAAATATTTACACAGAATATAGACACATTTCTTTGTGTGTGTGTTACTGCAGATATACGCAGTTCTTTGTGATTTTGCTATGTACCGCCATGCTTGAAGAAATCTGGTCATAGTAGCAGGACATGTGGTGGGGGATAATTGTCAAATGTTGGGATGTAGTTCCAACGCACCAAGGATACAATAAGGATAAAAAAAAGAGTCCTCAGATAGTAGAGGGGTGATGAGTTGACTGGTAGTGGGATGGATTTCAGTGTGGACATGGCCTCTGATCCCACACCTGCAGAAGGAGCCCTGTTTGAAGTGCTTGACCGCTCGGCCTCCCACCTCACAGCACAGATGACGGGTGACTCATCTCCAGCTCTACGGCTTTACACACTAAAGCAGACAACGTGCCACAGAGAGTGTCAGAGCGAGAGAGAAAACGTGCAAAGACGGGACAAGAAAAGAAAGTGTCACTCCAGACTATTATTTAGTCACAGTCACAGCTTACAGTAACTTCTGAACATCCAAGCCAGGAACATTTCGACGAGACCCCCGGTTTCTAGTATTGCGAGTCACGACATTCCCGGACTACATTCCTGAAAAGTTTTGCCGGAAAAGTTTTCAGGAAGCGGACTGTTCGTGTTGCACATTCCAAAACATAGATTTAACCACCGAACAACATAAACTTGGGTACATACTGTAAAGTACAAGTCATTCTAGAGTGAGTGAGTGATAACTCATCACAATA